TTCATTGTTAAGATCTTTAATCTTAGAAGGCAGCATGACCCTATTTGTGGTGGCATCAATTTGGATCGCTGCAAGGTGACTGTGAAACCACATCCGCAAAGGGTGTCCCAGGATTGCTCCAGGAAATCCCCTCTGTTACAGGAAGCACTTCTACTAGCACAGACCTAGTTCCCAAATCATCCTTTCTTTCCTATCCTATGAGGCAATTAAGGCTATTCTGCCTATGAGAGAATTACATTTCATTTCCAAGAACGTGCAGATAGGAAACAGCAGGATATTTTAGTGTCCAAGACAGACAGCCATTCTTGTGCTGCTGAACTGAATGAATTCAGCATGTTGGTCTAGGGCATGATGGTGAGGACCAACGGGAAAACCTCTATCCCTCAATAACCTCCTGCAGAAACCCATCATGACTGAATCATTTGCATTTCAATCCCTGCATGAAGCTAGTGACCACCTGAAGGATCTTGACATGGTATTTAATCCTCTTCTCCATGTTATTGTCTTCAGATACACCCAACAGTTTACCAAGCAGCACAACTTGCTCAACAGCATGTGACTACTGAATTAAAATGCTGAAAGCAAGTCTTATCATATCTACCCTATTAGAGTATCCTCAAAGTTTAACAAGAAAGAAACTGGAACCATCAGTTAATATTATCCCTCTTCCCTCACAGCAGAAAACAAGGAGAAAAAAGCTAATCAAATACCACCACCTTTCTTCCCCTCTGCTATTGCTTCTCCTAACATTGACCACATTTGTGGTTAAATGCAGGGAGTCAAACTTCCTATAAGCAGTGTTGTTATGGTTCCAGATTTCCACTGTGGTTCAGCTGTATCACAGCTCTGGAAAGGCAAACTGGCACGTGCTCAAACCGCCACCTTCCCTTGTTAGGGTGAAAAATTTCCATATTGTGACTCTAAAAGGCTCTTTACCTGAATCACCTTGCTGGCCTGCCTTCTAAGATTAAAGATCTTAACAATGAACTTAAAGAAATCACTTTGGTGAAACTGATATTCTGGATAAAAACACTTAGCGAAAATACTGATGCAATTTCATCACGCTACAGGAGATGCTTGTAGACAGTTAAAATGTACCTTCCCATTAAGACAATACTTTTAATTCAAGGTTCTGGCTGGGAAGATCACTGTACCTGCTCCATGCTGGGGCTCCTGCCCACACAGTCATAGAGAGGCACTCAAAGATGAGGCAGAGCAACATTGAGGACAAAAAGCATCATCTCTCAGGGAGAGGTGAAGTACTTGTAGAAGGCATTCAGCATTACTCTGCAGAAGGAACAATACACTTTCATATGATTTGATCAACACTAACCAAAAAGACAGGGCTGAATCCGGACAAAGAATCTGACATCAGCTTTAGAGGAGGAAAACAAACCTTCCAGGACCAATACAGGCAGGCAGGCTATTCCTAATCTCCTAGGCATGCCACACTTGCACTTTCAGTGGGAAAGCCGGGATAGCTCTGGTAGGTAAGTACATTTGCTGGGATCTTTATGCCACCCCTCTTACATCATTGCACTATTACACAAAGTTCCAGATCTGTTGGCTTTTTCCATTTCAACAAGGTATTGCCATCCAACAGGTCAATAAGGCAAGCTCAAGTATCTGATATTTTTAGCTAGATATACTATAGCACCTCACAGATGCCACAAGTTTTCTTCCTGCAAGGTCTGAAGGCAATTCCCCCCTTCTCTGCTGCTGGCTGAGCAGAGTTTGGGACCTGCTCTTCACATGCTGAGGCAACTGAGCTTTTTAAACAGCTGGGAAATCCACATTTCTCCACTTCATATGAAGTACTTAGAACAGATATAATCCTTGTCTAATACAACTGATGCTGCTTCCCCAACTTGGAGGAAGTAGGTTGAAATTGGCATTCAGGCCATCAAAAGAGTGAAAGGGTAGTCAAAAACCTCCAAAACTGCACAAATATTAAGGGGAAAGAAAATACTGAAATTCTGATCCTTTCTTACTGAATACATAATAACTCTTGATTCACTTCAAAACAGAAAGACCTGATTTTGGCCTTAGAGAAATGAGTCCATCTTATTCTCTGCATTGCAGATGAGAACAATCACATTTTTGCTTGCTCTGTCTTACCACTAAATTGATTATTCTCCAGGACTAGGAAAGAGGGAGAAAGGAGGGAGATTGTAATCACCCTTATAAAATTCCTTTAGGTGAAAGAAGTGAATGCATCTTACTTTTCCCAGCAACCCTCTTTCCTAATTCTGAAGCAAATAAATCACACTAAGGATAGTATCTCGAACATATGGCTCTGAATAAGGGGGATTTGCCTCCTTTTTTCTCTTTTTTTTTCTTCTCTAAATTAAATATGCCAGTCTCTGGAATTCCCTACACATTCCCTTTCATAGCAAAAGGGGTTTCTGTCCCCCTAAAATACAAATACCGCAAAAAAAAATCCTTTGTAGCTACTAACTTAATTCTGCCCACAGAAGGCTGTACCTAAGTTTAATATCCAGCCAACTGCACACAACCTGTTCACTACTGTTGCATTCACTTCCCACATATTCAGCAAACGCGATGCTACCAAGACGAGAATAAGGAAGGACTTCAGTGCACCAAGACCAGCAGCAACATGAAGAGCATCTTTACAGATGAACAGGTCATAACAGCGCTGGAGGCTGCCAAATGATCTTGTGTTTTTCTTTGCCATCTCTCTTGTAAACACCTACAAAGCACATGGCTTCAAGTACAGAAATTCATGGGATGTGTTTTTATTTTGCCCTTTGCTTTTCCATGCACAAGACACCCTACATTGAACCGTGCGGGCTTTGAATACTCCCCTGTCTTTCTGCAGAGCAGCTGAAGTGGAGGACCACTGGGAAGGATGTGCTAACCCCCTAGATCTGGAAGAGGCTTCCCACAAGCACCCTGCAGGAAAGGGGAAACACCCCCTGAAGTTCCTCATTCCCCTGCCTGCAATCCAAGAAGGCAGCTGGTGACACTGCGTGGAAGACGATCACAGAGGAGTTTGCCAGCAGGAACGAAAGGGTAACAAGAGTGCCAAAAGCCAACGGTCTGCATTTTTCTTTATTTTTGGTAAGCAAAAAGAAAACCAAGCAACACGAATGTGACTAGCAATAGAAATCAGGAAGGAAATGTAAATGATTTTATAGAAAGCATGAATCCAAGTCATACCAAGAGCCACCTGAATATTTGTCTCTCACAGGCAATTTCTCGTGTTCTTTTATGTCATCTTTGCAGTGTCAGTTTTCGAGAGAACAATTCTCAGCTCAGCATGACAGAAAAGTAATACCGAGGGGCATGCAGAACATTAGCATGTTATAAATAAACCGCTAATTTGAGGTGGGAAAAATCATCAAGGCAGCTCTTATGATTAAGAACCAGAGAAAGAAAATGAGCAACTTGCTTATGCTTTCAGGACACTGTATTTTATAAAAAAAAAAAAAAAAAAAAAAAAAAAAAAGCTTTGTCTAACCCCTAATTCCTGAGGGAAAGAATAAACCCTGTGAAATACGCACGGTTGAGACAAAGAAGCCAGTGAAAATGCTATTATAATTTTTAAAGCCCTCCCTGCACCCACTTCAAGTAGTAAGTTGTCTTTTTTACTTGCTTAAAGAATTTTGTGTTTAAGGGTACTACAACCGGGTTGTGAAGTTTCAGCTTCCTCTCTGCCAACTTGCAGTTTTACATAACTCTTCCAGAGACACTTTTTGGTCACAGATACCGCCCAGCTGAAAGCAAAAAAAACAACCCACCCCAAAAAGTACAAGGTGCAGAAGCATTATACAGCAATTCAGATCTGGGTTACTTAGAGCCACTCAATAAAACTCTTACCATGAAAATTAAAACTTTATTCCGTTGAGCCGACGGCCAGGATTATTTGTGCCCGCGATAGCTCTGATCACCACCCTCCGTCTGCCCCGTGCGGGGTTCCCTTCCCACCCTGTCCCCAAGTCTGCAAGGACAGATAACTCCCTGCCACGGCACGGCTGCCGCCTCGGGAATTATTTCTGTACCACTCCAGCATTGTCGTTCTGTCCCAGCATGACACTTACCAAGCTTTGCTATAAAAATTTCTACGAAATATCTATGTTTTCCATGAGCGGGGATAATGGCCTCATTGCAATAGCCTTGATAAAAGCTCCAACAAGACAGCTTTCAGATATCACCACACAAAAGCCTTCTGTGAGAGCTGTAACCAACATCAATTCCCGCTATGCGAAGACATTAGACAAAGTGTGAACTAGCTTACTGTATGGGGACAAAAAACTGACTGTCAATGTGTGGGACCAACGCTGTCTAAAAACACAACGCTGGCAAGGCAAAATAGCACTAGCATATATACATGGTAATTGCCATTTAATTCCAGAATTAGCAGCACAAGAAAACAAGTACTGAAGGCACTATTAGGCTACTAGCATCGCTCAAGACATTATAATTCCATATAATTCCATTTCTAGTGTTCCTGGTAGGAAAATGACTTTAAAAATGGCAGATGTTAAAAACACCCAAGCAGAAGGTGAAGGAAGCCCAGTTTCCATTACAGAAGCACTCAGAGAATGCAGCAAACCCTTCAGATCTGCTCCTTAGAGCATGTATTTTCCTACAGAATCATGGAATAGCTTGGGTTGAAAGAGATCTTTAAAGGTCATCTAGTCCAACCACCCTGCAATGAGCACTGACATCTAATTAGATCAGGTTGCTCAGAGCCCCATCCAACCCAGCCTTGAATGTTTCCAGGAATGGGTACCTATCACCCATCTGAGCAACCTGTTCCAATGTTTCACTAGCTCTGCTGTAAAAACTGTCTTATATCTAGTCTAACTATTTCAGTTTAAAACCATTGTCTGTTAATAATAATAGAAAAAGCCCAAGTTGGAACAGACCCATAGGATCACTGAGTCCCACTCCTGGCTCTGCAGAGGACAGCCCTAATAACCACACCATGTGCCTGAGAGCATTGTCCAAAGGCTTCCTGAACTCTGCCAGGCTTGGTGCTGTGACCAGTCCCCTGGGGAGCCTTTTCCAATGCCCAACCACCCTCTGGATGAAGACCATTTTCCTAATAGCCAGCCTAAGCCATGGTAGACAACCTGGAACACACAAATCACCATCCCACCTATGGTACCAGGATGGAACATCTTCTGTGCATCATTTTGTGCTTTTCACATACTTAGCTGCTTACACTCGGGTAGCATCCAAAAAGTCAAAAGCCTATTGTCGGCCTCAATGGACTGCACCAATATAATTGCTGGGCCAAGAGATAAGGTTTTTACTTCCAGACCTGAAATTTGCCAGATGACACCTCTTAAATTTCAGGTCTAGGAAGAAGGGATGCAAACAAGTCTACATGTCAGTTTGTTTCTGAAAAACATTTGAAAGGCAAATTTGAAAGCTAAGTTTTTAGACAGCATAGTACACTCACCCCATGGAGAAGTATTTCACTCTAAAATTACATCTGTACTTTAAAATGTGTAAAAAATATAAAATCCTACAGTGCATATTCAGTGGCTTGCAAAAAAAAAAAAAAAGTATCTGTTACTGCACTCTAATTTTAGTATGATTTTATAACTAACGGATAGAACCAAAATTAAGACAAAGTTATATTCAGAGAGAACTGGTAGAGTGGACCAATGAGCCTGACATGATATATAAGAATTAGACTCTTGCAGTGCATGGTGTGCACCATTGAGTCCTAAACCAGAGACTTTTAATGTCACCTTAATTAACAAGGAAGGAAGTTTGCCAATGAGTTCCTTCCCCCACCCCCCTTTTCTAGCACTAAGTTATGCAATATGCAGCAACCTTTGAACCAACAGCTGTACAACAAGCAAAAAAAAACCCAAACCAGAATAGCATGGTTAAGACTAGAATGTCTTTCAAGAAGTTCATTAATGAAAATTACTTTAAGAATCTATGCATACATAACCAACAGACATACCACAGCTCAGGGCAGGAATGCTGGAGCTGAAGCAGCCAAGGCTAAGCAAACATCTCTTGTCCAGATTCCCAATACAACTTATTTTTACCAAAAAATAGTTCTTTACAGGTTTTCTAAAAGTTTTCATAGATTTTTGCAAAATAACTAGTGGCTCATGAGGTCTATGAGGCAGAACAGTAAAATTTCATTGTAAAAATAAAGAAATGAAAGCAAAAATATTAGCAGCCTCTGCATTTAACAGTAATTTGTCCATATAAAGTTCCAGATACCAAGGACTCAACATCTGCAGTATTGCAAGTGCACATCACAGGAAACAGCCCGTATCTTCTGAAAAATCAGTTCTAGACCCTTGCAGTGAGGCACCTGAATATGCCACCAGCCTTTAGGCAGTGGACACTTCTGCAACTTCTGCCTAAATGCAGCCAGATACAAGTTGGAAGAATCTTGTAAGTAGTTGGAGGTGATCAAATTAAATCTCCAACTCAAAGAAAGCAATGAAACTGGATACTGGTTTTACTTTTAGAGGCAGAAATAAAGAAAAGCCATATCTGACCACATAACTTAGCACACTCACAGAAGAGATGCCAGCTGATTCTGAGAAGGTGATCTTTAATGCTCCACTTTGCTTTCCTAGCTTAGTCCTAGGCCAAAGAGCTTGGGCACAAAACACCTGAGAGCTGCAGGGCATGCACGTGCAGCAGTGACAGAGTTAGCATGTTAGTTTTCACACTGTCACAGGTCAGGTCAACAACTCTCCACATTCAAAAGTGGGACAGGAGACTCATGACACACACCATTAACCTTAAGCAAGCTCAGTTTGCAAACAGCTACCAGCACAATTGCTATGCATTCATGTATGTATAAAAGGGATGCTAAAACCCATGAAGTAGTACTTTCTTACCACACAACAGAGGCCATTTTCATTAAGCTCCGGCTTAATCAACACCTAGTCAAGCTCCTGCCTTCTCCCTTTACAGGGCTAGCAGATGCAAATATTTACCACAGCTCATGTTGAGCTCACAAGGCATTAAGAACTCCATGAATGCCACTAGATCCAGCAAATAGCAGCAGCTACCAAGCAGACAGCATAGTACTTCAAGAGACACCCATGCCAGGCATAGCACTTCCAAGTGTGGTTTTGGACCAACTTACTCGAGGAAAACAGAAGTTAAATAGTTCCTTTTTAAAGATGTCATAAATTGGGCAATTTTGCCAAGCCTGTCTTCAAACAGAACTGAAATTGAAATAGAATCCAAATACCTCACCAGCAGCACCTCTAGCACTGCAGCAGCCCCATCCCAGAGGCACGGGCAGCTCTCCTCCCACTGCACACCACTGCCCCCAGGGAACATGACGGGGGTTTCTTCTCCACAGAACTACAAACAAAATCCTGGTCTTGAAAAATAATGCAGGAAGCGATTAACCCTGTCAGCCAAAACAAAAGCCTGAAGTCCAACCTAGTCATTTGTAAAGATGAGAGTTACCTCCATATATATATGTATATATATAGATTACTTGCAGAGACTACAAAACCTGGAGATTTAGTTACTCTAAGAACTTTCCATCTGCTGAAGTCCTGCACTGGGCCAGGCTGGATCTTTGTTACCACCACTGGTGCAAGAAACCCACTGAAACTCAAGTCAGAGTCATCCCTAGCAGGCAGTTTCCCCACAAACCAGGACTAAAGCCAGAGCCACCTTCCCACCCCTGCACACCAGCACCAGGACCAGGACCAGACTGCCACCATCAGCCAAGCAGACATCATCAGAAGTGAAGCCTGAAAGACACCATACTTGAAGCTACCAAGAAAAGCTCCCATCTTCATTTCACCTGCACCAATCATCCCTGCTGCTCTGAACACAAGGCATGGGCTGAAATTTCCCTCCCACAACCACACCAGGCCTGCTAGCCTGCACAGGGCTGGGCTCCAAAGAGGAATGGTGCTACTTCACTTTCCTTTTTGCAGCCTGCATCTCATAATGAGCTATTCACACAGCAGCCATTCCTACTCATCCCCTCTGCCCCACACCTCCCGCTCCCCTCCCCAGGGCCAGGTTAAGACCTCATGAAACAATGTGCGTCTCTGCAAAGTGAGTCTACCATGTGTTCCAAACATCTTTCAAAGTTGCCAGTCCACAGAAGTTTCACAAGTAAAATCTCACAATTACAGACACATTTGTTTTCACACCCATGTGGTTCCTTTATAAAATTACACCTTTATCTTTACATTAATGGCTTTCATTTCAAGAGAAATGAATTGTCTGACACTCCAGCTTGGAGAAGACATCTGAGCACAGAAGATAATTTATCATAAACTGTGCAGAGAAACACACATCAGAAAATCATTTTTCCCTACCACAATATCTAGGGTCACCCAAGAGCACTACAGACAGCAAGGCAGAAAAAAAACAAAACAAAAAAAAAAAAGCAAGGCAAGAAAATAGTTTATTTCCTTTCATACAAAATAGCTAAATCATGGCTGGAACTTGTTGCTACAAGGTCAGAACTTGTAACTACTAATAGCAACTACTTATTGCCACTGTCAGAACTACAGCTAGATTCAAAAAGGGATCACAAAAATCACCGGCCACTGGTATCTATAAAACCATTGTAACCCCTGACCAAGAAAGTGCTCTCTTGAAGCACAAAGGGCTTTCCTGTGCAAGCCTCCTTCCCCGTGTTCTTTCCTGAAACAGTCGCCACAGTCAGAGAAGGCATGGGGGAACCCTTCGTCTTGCAAAATATATAGCTGTTCCTAAATTCCAAGATGATTCTCCTTGTAAATGCTTGTGCATACTCACAGATGAGAACACAGACAAAATTAAGAGAACAGCACCAACATACCTGGAATAAAATGAGGGGAAACAAAATGCCTGTATTTGCTCAACCTGGTGGGGCATCCTCTACAGAAGAATACACAGGCCATGAAGTGACCCCTACCCAGCTTTTGCTAAGCAGACTGGTGGCGCAAGGAAAATAAATTCACAGAAAGAACAAGTAAGAC